GTCTCCTACTGTCCTTTATTAAACTTTTTAAAGGAGAGTGAACGTGTTTTTCACATTGTGGTCTGACCAAGATGTTGGTACCGTACCATTGCTCAGGCTCACAGTCTTTACAGCTGCACGCAGGACAAAGCCCTGGCCGGCAAACCGAAAGGAATTTCCAACATCTCATTAAACACGACTTGTCACAACTTTTCTCCAGACGGGGACAGCCAAAACCCCATGCCACGTGTCCCCGAGAGGCAGGAAGCTGGAGAGAGGGGAGGGAAGAGCCTCCCCTGCAAGGGGGAGGAGGCAGCAGCCTGGAGCCCGCGGGGTGAAGTTCTCTCCCCATCGCTGCTCGCGTTCAGTTTCGTTTCCCGGCTGAGCCCTCCCTCAGCCCTGCCCCGAGCTGGCGCCATGGCCCAGGCGAAGGCTATGGCCGGGCTGAAGGAAGAGCTGACGTGTCCCATCTGCCTGGACATCTTCAGGGACCCCACGATGGTGGACTGCAGCCACAGCTTCTGCAAGGAGTGCGTCAAGCAGGCGCTCCGGGGCCAGCAGAGCCCTGCCCGCTGCCCGCTCTGCCACTCGCCCGTCGGGGAGCTGCGGCCCAACTTCCATCTCCGCAACATCGTGCAGAGGTTCATGGACGCTCCCGCGCACAAAGAGGAGGAGAAGCAGGAAGGGCAAGGCAAGGGGAAGGCGAAGTGCTCGGGCCAGGCGGCGGAGGTGGTGCTGTGTGATTTCTGCCTCCAGGAGCCGCAGCCCGCAGTGAAGACGTGCCTGAGCTGCGAAGCCTCGCTGTGCCAAGCGCACCTGAGCAGGCACAACAGTAAGAACGAGCAGAAGAGCCATGTGCTGGTGGAGCCCTGCGATGGCCGGCTTCTGGCTGAGAGGAGATGCCCCCAGCACGGCAAACTGCTGGAGTGCTTCTGTGAGGATGACTCGGGGTGCATCTGCGTCCTGTGCTCCGTCATCTCCCACAAGAACCACAAGATCATCAGCTTGGAGGAGGCTTTCAGCAAAGCCCAGGTAAGAGGCTGCTGGGATGGTGGCTCTGGTCTGGATTGCGCCAGGAAAACCCCAGAGAGCTGCCATGGCACAGGGGCAGCTCCTGAGTTGGAGAAATGCAGACCCAGCGTGGGGCTAAATTACAATCCTGGGCTTTTATTCTTTGTTTTGTCACAGGTTCTCTCTGGCTTTGGCCCTTGGGATATAAAACAAGATGTTATAACCACTTTTTTCCCCTCCTGAGAGAAGAGTTTGGCCAGACTGGTGGGACTGAGTGCTCCTGCAAGGTTTTGGTCCTTGGTGCACCTCCAAGGCAAAGCAGAGCCTGAGCTGCACTTATGCAAAGATAATTAATGACAGAGTAACAGAAAGAAAGGTGCCAACAGGGGAAGTAGCTTGATGTTTGGCTAGTGCACATGAACAGTTTTCAGCTTCAAATTGTCCTTTTTGTGCTTGTAATGGTGGTATTTGTTCAGAGATAAAACCTCCCAGTGAACCTTTATCTGCTGCTTTGTCCTGAGAGCATGCAGTGAGCAGACCTTTTGCAAGTCTAGCTTAACCCCTGTGGATAAAACTGCTGTCGATAAAACTGCTGATCTTGTGCACTATGGCAGTCCTCCCCTGATCCTCCCCTGATGTCTCCTTCCCGTGATATTTGTAGGTATCTTTTCCTGGAATACTGGAATCAGTGAAAAACCATGAAGCTGCCGTGGACAAAGCCATAGCAAATCTGCTGAAACAAATGGAGAAGCTAAAGGTTTGTTTCAAGGTCCCATATCACCTGGGGGTGGTTGCTTAGTGGTAAATAATGAGATAAAGTTTTCTTTTGCCCTTCCCCAGCTCATGGATTCTGAAGCTTTTTTAGTTCCTGGGTGGTTTCTCATATATTTTTGAGATTTCTCCTTTGAGGAAGGATGATGCAGAACTTTCTTATCAGTCTGGGAGGTCCATTCTTAGTTAAGCTTGAGAGGCTGTGCCTCCTAATGAATGGCTGGTGTGTGGCTTTTTGATTTTTCCAACCTTCAGCTTTTAGTTACATGCCTCATCCCAGACAAAAAGATAGATTTTTTCCTGAGTAAGAGGAAATGTCCTTTACAAATGTGAAATTGTTTTCTTAATAGACTGATGAGAGCCAGCGGAGGGAACAGCTGAAAAGCCTGTTCAAGGAGATGCATAAGGAGCTCGAGAAGAAAAAAGGGGAGGTCCTGAAAGTTCTCAGTGACTACGAGGGGGAACAACTTTCTAAGATTCAGACAGAGATTAGTAATCATAAGAGGATGAAGGATTCAGCCAGCCAGGGTGTTCGGGAGCTGGAGGCTCTGAGAAATCAGAAGGACACACTGCTTTTCACCAAGGTACCTGTCAGCATCCCCCTTCCCAGAGACACAGAGCTCCAGGGCTGGCCTGTGCCTGCACTGTGCTAATTCTGCTCTCAAAATGTCTTTACAGGCTTTTTCAGCGATCAAAGGCAGGTAAGCTCTTGCTGAGGTTTAGTATCTTTATTGCTGCCGTGGACGAGGGACGGAGCGCGCTGTCCGTGAGTTCACACACAGCCCAAGGCAGGCAGGAGTGGGGCTGTGCTGCAGGGCACGAAGCTCTGCAGAGGGATCAGGACAGCTGGGACCCATGGGCCAAGAGCTGCAGTGGCAGGTTCAGTGAGGCAAAGGGACAGGTCCTGCACTGTGGTCACAACAATCTCATGCAGCTCCAGGCTGTGGAACAGTGACAGGAAAGCTGCCTGGCAGGAAAGGAACTGGGAATGCTGTTCAGTGTTGGCTGAACATGAGCCCAGGTGTGCTCTGGGCTGGAGACAAGGTGGGCGTTGGGAACAGCTTGGACTCGTTGGCCTTGGAGGTCTTTTCCTGCCTCTGTGATTCTGTGGTTCTGTGATTCCTTCTGTGTGTTTTAGGAAATGCCAGCCACATCCTAGCATGGATGGTGTTGTAGTGCCAAAGCCACCCATTACTTTGGATAAACCAAAAACAGATAATATTCTGAGCCTTTTCCAGAAATTCATCTCAAACATGGAGGTCTCCTTTAAGCAGCCTTATATATATGGAACAGCACCTAATGGTAAGTGCTCATTTCACCATGTCAAAAGCAAGATGGGGAAGTCAATAAAACTTGCTGTAAGAAAGGACTGTAATGAGGCACCAATTCCACTGAGTACCTCTAGAAGTGCTAATTCCTTACACTGTATGCTTATTTGCACATGTGTGTGCAGCAAAGGGAGCTGGTCCTGGCGTTCAGGGCTTTGGGGCATGCCTTGAATGCACCTTGCTAAACCAGGCTATGGATGAAGAGGCTGGGAAGTCCCATGAGTTTTGTGGGAGGTTTAAGAGAAGACAGTAGAATACCTCTGTGGCATCCCTTTGATTCAAAGTGATGTTGAGAACTCATCCCAGCAGTGTCAGGGTCGGACATAAGTAACCTACTCTTCCTGTGTAAATACTTCTGCTCCTTTGCAATGCTTTGTAAGCTTAGCCTACAGTGCCAGAGCTGTGCACAGTGGATACTTGTCTGACTGAATTGGTGAAATTAGGGTTCCCTAGGTACTGCCCTCTGGATGTTGCTTCAGCCCTTGCTGGCAGCGGGCCTTGGGTCAGGACAGAGACAGACTCCAAATCTCCACAATAATCTGGTAATCATAATGTGTTTTTTCTCTTTAGGTCCCTTCTCATTTAGTCATGGTACAGCATACCATGGATCCACATACGGACCTGCCTTTCATTTTCCTTACAACTAGCCTAACAAAATATAAATTCAGTGGCAACCATAATGATAACAGTCATAGAAAGGAGAGAAGAGAGAGAGAAAGCCCAACCAAAACTATCAATGCACAGCACGATTGCTCCCCCATCACCTGCTCTCTGATGTGCAACCACTGTTCCTGAGCAGCAATGGGCTCCTTGTGGCCATCTCCCCCCAGTTCATACACTGGGCATGGTGTTCTGTGGTGTGGAATATCCCTCTGGCCAGTTTGGGTCACCAGCCCCAGCTATGCTTTTTGTGCACCTCCTTGCTGGCAGAGCATGAGGCACAGAAAGCTCCTTGGCTCATGTGTACACTGCTCAGCCACAGCCAAACCATCGTTGTGTTACCAACATTATTCCCTGCTGAACCCAAAACTGTACCAGCTGCTGAGAAGAGAATGAATTCTCAGGAATGAAGCTCTCATTATTAGAATGAATCCCAGCCCAAACCAGGACAGGACTCCAATACACACAGTGCCATCCCAGAGCTGCTGGAGGAGGATACCAGCAATGAGAACTGCTGGAAGCTTGGAATTGTTTGTGCCTGGTTTGAATGCTCCTCTCTGCTCCTTGGGTCGAAGATATCAATGGTAGAAGAAACACTCTTTTCATGATGTGTCTGTCAAGGCTGGACATCCTGCTAAGAACTTCGGGCTTATAGAGACTGGAACCATCCCTTTCAAGTATCCCATCCATGCTGCTATCAGTGTGTTGAAGCTCCTGTAGTAACGTGGGGACAAGGTGTTGTTTTGTATTTCCAGGCCTAGAAATTGTGAGCCTTGCACGGAAGCTGTGCTAAGCTGGCATCTCATAAACTGGGTTGTGGGCTGCTGTGAGGGGGTATATCACAGCACCCTGCCTCGTCCTGCAAGAGCTCCTGTCTTATTTGTTCTGTTTATCATAATGGAAATACCCTTAAGTTGCTCATTTTTGCTCAGTTGTTTTAAGTACTGTGTTGGGTTCATGTTAATAAAGTCATTGTTAAACACGATGGCAATTTATTTTATCTAAAAGCTGACAGCTCAACATTAACTGCTACAGAACTAGGCAGCAGCGATACTGATCTTTGATCTAAGGCTTGATCTTTGATCTCTGCCGTCTCTTTCCATCCTGCACATCCAGTGGCAGACGCAAAGCTGCCCTGGGAGGTGAGGAGAGACTGGGCAGCATTCCCTGCTGGAGACGGAGGGGAAACTCCCCGAAGTGGCTGCCGCGGTGTAGGAAAGGGTGGAGCCGGCAGAGGGAACATTTCTCTGCCGGGCCTGGAAGGGGAGGGCTCGGAGAGGAGGGCTGGCCTTGGCCGGGTGCCTGCTTCTGGTTTTAGTTTCGGTTCTGTGCTCTTGCTGCAGCCATGGCCGAAGCTTGGGAGGGATGTGTAGGGGCTGGCAGCCTGAAGGCCGAGCTCACCTGCCCCATCTGCCTGGAGCTGTACCAGGAGCCGGTGTCGCTGAGCTGCGGCCACAACTTCTGCCGGCCGTGCATCGAGGAGGCGCCGTATTCGCAGTGCCTCTGGACCTGCCCCACATGCATGGCCGACCTGGCTGTCCCCCTGGAGCTACACAGCAACTTCAAGCTGCGCAACATCGTGGAGGCATTTAAGGCCACCACTTCCAAAGGACAACAGGCTCGAAGAGAAAGCCTCCAGCAGGACGAAGGCACCGAGAAGGGGAAAACAGACGTGGTTCCCTGTGAGCAGTGCCTGGATGGACCCCAGCCAGCTGTGAAAACCTGCCTGATTTGCGAGGTGTCCTTGTGCCAGGCCCACCTGAGCAAACACAACGCCAGGGATTTCCATCAAGAACACATCCTGGTGGAGGTGGGAGCAGGCAAGGCGGAGGAGAGGAGGTGCCGGCATCACGGCAAGCTGCTGGAATGCTACTGCCTGAGGGAGGAGGAGTGCATCTGTGTGCTCTGCTCCATGGCTGGGGCCCATAAGGGCCACGAGGTCATCACCCTGAAGGAGGGACACGACAGAGAGCTGGTAGGGAGCTCTTCCCTGCCCATGAGGACGGGTGAAAGCCGCAGGAAGGGCGGTAGGGCTTCCACAGGGAGTGGGGATGGATGTGAGGGCAGCCCCGGGAAATTTCTCTCCCCCAGCAAGGGACTGGTTCATTGTGCTGGAATTTGCTTTTCATTGCAAGTGGCGGTGTGTTGCCAGAACAGTGTGAACAGCTAAGCAGAGGGAGAAGAGAGGGGAAAGGTGTCGGGGGGTGGCCGGGACAAGCGTGGTCAGTCCCTCAGGGTGTGGGGGTCCCTCAGGGCGGTTCCCCTCAGCGGTGAGCTGCAGCCCCGGCGCTGCCAGCCGCCCTCACTACGGTGTTCCTGGCTGGAACTGAGAAGTATTCCTGCAGGGATTAGAAAATCCCTTCCTCCACAGAGCCTCGGGAATGCCATGATGTTGAACTTTGGGTGGGGAAGGGCGTTTCCCCTCTCGAGGTCCTTCCCTTGGGCTCCGTCTGTGTAGCACGGTGGGATCAGGCTCTGCTCCCCAATAACCAGTGACAGGATGAGGGGAGGCAGTCTCAGGTTGTGCCGGGGAGGTTCAGGTTGGACATCGGGAGGAATTTCTTCACTGAGAGGGTTGTTAAACATTGGAAGGGGCTGCCCAGGGAGGTGGTGGAGTCCCATTCCTGGCGGTGTCCAGGGAACGACTGGACGTGGCACTCATTGCTCTGGGCTGCGTGACAAGGTGGGGATTGGTCACAGGTTGAACTCGATGACCTTGAAGGTCTTCTCCAATTTCAGTGATTCTGGGATTCCTCCCTCTGCCACAAATTTTGTGGAGCCAGTGTCCCAGTAGATACAAGAGACATGGGGTCTCCATATTCCTGCCTCTGAGTCCAGCTGCTGTCCTGGAAATGCTCCAGAATCAGTTGAGACTGAGGGGAGTAAATGCATTCCCTGTGCTCACTCACTGCCTTGCATTTGAACTATCTGGGCTCTGTTTAGAGCTCAAGCAAAAACCCTGCAGGAACCCAGTGCATGGGAAGGAAATGGCTCCCTCTGGACCTCAGGACAGGTCACAGCCTCCTCAGGAATTAGCAGAAGCATCTTTTTCAGTTGTATGAGCTGCAGACTTACTTCCTCCCCCAAGTTACATATCAAAATTTCAGGGCTGCCAAGCAGAAGTGGGATGTGTGAGACAATGGCTATTTCACCAGCTCCACAAACTGGCCATCTGGTTTGAAGCTGTTCCTGCTGGGAAGTTCAGTGCTGTCTTTCCTTCTCCAGGTTAAACTCTCCAGCACCATGACAGACCTGCAGGAATCTAGAAGTGATTTAGTTACTGCCCTAGAAGAGCTTCAGGAAAGAGAGACTCAGATCAAGGTTGGTATCCAGATAATTGCTAATTCATAGCATCTTTCCTTCACAGTTCCCCAGCAATAAGTGATTGAAACTATACTGTTAGAAGCAGATGAATAGACAGGGAAAAGAGTGGTTTGAGAAACTGCCAGAAGCCAAGCTTCATTGCAGCCTTCCAGCTCCTCCACAGGAGGAACCAGCTGGGGGATTCCACCCTGTATTGTGGTTGCACAGACCAGGTTGCAGGACTGGCAGCCCACAGACTGTACATAAGATTATGTATTCTTAAAGATTTCTACCTGTTTAATAAAAGAAAAGCAATTTATATCTACAAGTGGGATTTCCGGTGTGTACCGGTAAGCTCTCACATTGGTATTCCATTCAAGAAATTCATCTGACTTGATATATCTGACTTCCTATATCAGGATTAATTTTGAAAAGTCTCTGTTGAATCAGATATTCCAAGCAAATGTTTATTGTCTGCTTCCTTCTAAAGCCAGCACAAAGGACAGATAGAATCCTAATTGATAAGCAGAGGCACTAAACTGAAGGGTGGAGTTTCTGAGCCAGTGCCCCTTTTTCTCATCTCTTCGTTTAGAACGATACCAAAACACTGACTTCTGACCTAAAACAGCTGTTTAAAAGTATAAAGGCAGAGCTTGATAAGAAACAGAGGATGATCCTGCGTGACATTCAGTCTTATGAGGAAGAAAACCTGGCAGTTGTCGCCAACGCAAGGAAGGAAATGGAACAGAAGAGAGACCAGGCTGAGCAGAACCTTCAGGCTTTGCAGATGATAAAAGAGCAACCAGATACTTTCCTCTTCTTCAAAGTAAGCAGTGGCATTCTGCTTTTCTTCATGGATCTGCCTATTTCTGCCAGGTGACCTTTCTGAAAATCACACTAATGATATCTCTTTATCTTTTTTTTTTTTCTTTCTTTTTTTTTTTTTTTTTTAAACAATCCTCTTGGTAGGATCTGAAAGAAGTCACAGACAGGTATGTTCCACTTCATAACATTTCTTTTCTTACTTGAAAAAATATGGTGTTGATAACTGGGATCAAACCCCATCACCCTATGCTGCAAAGCTGCTCCATAATCCAGCTGAGCCAGAGGGCACCACATCCAAAGTATGGATGGAGAGATCCCTGCCTGCTGTTACACTTGTCCCTTTAAATTTCAGTTTCCTGGCTGGATTCTCACAGAAACCACTGGCTTTTATTACCAGAAAACGTTTTTATCAGGGATGAAGCCCCTGGGGTTCAGTTTACAGTAACACTGTCCTGGATGCACATTGGTGACTCCCTCATCTGAGTTCCCAGGGAACAGCCTTTGGCAGCAGAGATAACCAGCTCATTTCCCAGCAAGTCTGAGTTGTGGACAAGCTTGGTAGCTAGAAAGATTAATTATTATCTTTAATTTATAACTTACCACTTCCTATGTGATGCCTGGGTGTCAGCTGTAATTCAGTGGTGCAACAGCACACCAACAGTTCCAGATCCAGGAGAGGCTTTGCAGCAGCACTGCAGGCCCCAGCTGCACGAAGGGCTGGCTCAAACATCTACCTGGAATTTGAGGTGTCACCTCGGTAACTTGCACAGATTAAAGGTGAATTCAAACTCAGGTTGTAAGGAGAGCTTGGAATCACCGTGTGCCTCAGGGCTGCAGCTCGGTCTGTTACTCACAGCTGTGCTGCAAGTCACATCCTAGCCTGTGGGATAAAGATAATTTTCCAGAAACCTGGACACCATTTAATACGTTTGGCATTCTTGTTCTGGCATTGCTACAACAGTAAGAGCCTGCCTGCAGCAAGTCAAGGCTCTGTTCACACACATGGGGATCATCAAAACACTTCCTCCTCTCTCATTATCAGCATTTGAAAGTTCCAGTCGGTCAGCATGAGGCATTGCCAAATAAATAACAGTATGTAGCAGTTGGAATTCAACCTTCACAAAGAGCTGTTAACCCAAAAATTCATGTTGCCAAAGCCCTCTCCTATTTGCAGACTCTGTCCTGGTGAAGAATTTTGTTACCTTTGGGTGCTGGATGGTTTTCCTTGGTGCAATGACTCTCTGTGCTCTAGGATTGCAAGTCTGGATCTGGTCACTGAGGATGTGAAGGTGCAGGCAGTGCAGCTGAGTGACAGACTGATGGCCCAGTATGAAACCAAGAAAAAGAGTTTTTTGTTGGATCTGGACTGTCTGCTGAACGATGTGTGCGGTGAGCAGCCCCGACCCGCCCCAATGACACCGTGGGAAACAGGGACCTCAATCCTTGGCAGCTCCTTCCACCAGGGTGTGAGGGGCTGATGTGGGGTCCTGAGAGCTGTGGGGAGGGGAGGGGGCAGGTTTCTGTGGATATCAAGGAGGAGGTCTGCTCTTAAGCAGTGCAAGGCCAATTTCTCCTCTCTCAGATGTGGTTTCCTGCTCCCATCAACTTCCCAAGTTCTGGGTGCTCAGTCCCACTTTCAAGAAACATCCTCTGTGTTTGCCCATCCCCTCCTGGTTTATCTCTGACCATGAGGTCCAGGGGGACAGTACCCAACCCTACACTTGAGTTCATTGCCAGCTTTGTTAACCATTCTTCTATATTTTTTTTTTAGAACAACATCGCCAAGGAAATGAGAAGGAACAGGTAAATCCTTTACTTGTAAAATGTTCCCTGCAAATTTCTTCAGTTGTTCATTTAAGGACTGTATCTCCTGCACTTTCCTACTTCAGTTTTAAGGAGACCTAAGCAGAGTCTCAAAGGCTGTCCTTCACCTTCAAAGAAGGGACTCAGATCTATTCACATCTCTTGTTCTGCTATTAACAAGATGTGATTTGTGTTTTACAAGGCTCTAACATTCAACACCTTTTTTTTAAAGTGAGGCTTCACCTACTGATATCTCTCCAGAATGTAAGTGTTCAAAAGTACCATTTATTCCTCAGGACTCTGGCTTGGGGCTGTGAGTCTTGCAGAGAAAATCTCCCACCTAACAATGTGATCAGCATTTTGTTGCATGTGTCTCCTGTCCTTGCCAGAGCTTGTAGCCTCAGGGCAGAAATCTCTGGGAACTCACCAGGCAAATAATTTCTCCTCAGCCTGAGGGACACACTGGGTTTGCTTCAGCACTCAGGAGAACTCTGATCCTGTTCCAAGGAAAGACCATGGAGGGGTTCCCACCAGCTGGGCAGGAGCTGGAGCAAACCCAGTACCTGAAAAAGTTCCCTAAATAAATCCAAATGCTTCAGAAGATAAGTGTGAACAGTATTTCTCTGCAGATAGCACTAGTCCAGTGCTCAAATCTCATGGGCACAGCAGGGCATCTTTTCTCCAAGCTTTTTAAACTAAATGCTATTTAGAAGTTAACAAAATATTTTTAACTGTTCTTTTAATTGCTGCAACTAAAGTTCAGTTTGCAAATTATTATCTTCTTAATTCATAAATGAAAAAGAGAATCTTACTTTCTTCACCACTTTTTAACTTTTGGAGCAAATCTAGAGATACATTTTTTAATCAGTGTATATGTCCATGTATTTCTCATGTGAGCTCAGTCAGTGGCTGTGCTCTACACAGAACCAGACAGTCACTCAAAACAGGTTAGGGAAAAAGAAGGTTTGTTTCTGAGACAAGGCAGTGCTCTACTTGGAAGCAACTTGTCAAATATGTTGTAAAATATTACTTTATTTTACAGTAAGTGAAGCTTTTTCATCTTGTTTATTCCTACTGCAGGAAAGCATTGTTGAGAAGGAACAACATGCACACTTGTTTTAATTTTGTTTCTCTTAGGTCCAGATGTAACGGAGATGTGAAAAACAGATGTCAGAACTGAGATGGAAAGAAAAACTGGAATATTATCCAAAATTACCTCTAGTAATGAGAACCTGCCACATGTTTTGATCTCCCCTCCTACCTTGAATTCAAATAAATTCTGTAACACATGCAAATTTTTTTTGTAAGTACTAAGAATTAACACGAACCTAATAAAATCTACTGCTGCTGCATTGCAAACGGTGGACTGTATTACCTCACAGGTCTAATTATACTTCTGTACAATGATTTGTGGTGACTCTGTTGTCACTATGGGGCTGAATAACCAAATAAATGGCTCTAGACACATGTAAGCAAGGCTGGAGGATTTCATACCATCACCAGGAATTGCTGAGAGCATTTTTTGTGGGTAGACTCCCAAGAAATCAAGGCTGAAGTTCTCTGTGCTTTTACAGGACCTGTGGCTACAACTCTGTTCTGTCACTTATGATAATCAACACATACCTGATTTCAGGGATTAAAAATAAACACAGCAGTCCATCTCAGATTTGGGGTAGCATCTCTTCCTGCTTTAAATGGACTCTCCAAGCTGTGCACGTGCTCAGCCCTGGCTCTGCTGCACCCATCAATTGTCAGCATTACAGAAAGTGTGTGGCCAAATTTTGGGAGCTGAGCAGTTGCTCAAGGTGACTTTGCAAATATTCCTTCCTGCTCGAAGCCAGCAAGGCACAAAGGGCAGCACAAAGCTGCTCTGAGCCACTCAGATGAGGGAAAAGAATGGAGCCTGTCCTTCAGCACTTTCCTGACCCGGGCTTCTGTGGCTGCCAGCTGAAGGAGCTGGGAGCAGCCAGTGCAGGTCAGTGCTGCTGCTGCAGACAGAGTTCCTGCAGTGCTGCAAACCCCTGCAGACAGCAACCCTCCCTCAAACCTGGGATCTGTAACCCTGCTGCAGGCTCACAAAGCTTTTGGATGAAAATGACAATCTAGGAAGGTGGAATTTTTGAGTTAGATGCTAAGTTGATGGTGCAGTTTAATTCCCCCATACATTTGTTTGTTTGCAAAGAGACTCAATGGAATTTGTGACTTTTTTAATGTTCCATGCTTTAGCCTTGAGGAAGCAAAGAGCTGAAAGACTGGATGAAAGCAGGGCAAGAAAACACATAGAATCCAGCAATTATTTGACTAAGCCTTCTAACACATATCAACACTGAAAATTTTATCACCTAATTACTTCTTGACTAGGCGACAACATTGGACTGTGACACACAGTGAAAGTGCAGCAATTCTGCACAGATGTTTGTGCAGAACACTCTTTCATGATTACAGTATAATTGTGACATGCATAGTTCTGAGATAAGGACAGAACTTATTTCTTTTTGATATCGTTATGGCTTAAGTATTTTGATTACCTAAGAACTCTGATTCATTGCATCTTTCCTTTTGTATTACGCCCTCTCACCTCCAACCACTCAATTTTTACCTGGCATTTGTCTCATCCTTGATGGAAACCTTTAAAAGCAGCTCATTTTAGCTCTTCTTTTTTGGTTTTGCCAAGCACTGAATGATGTGACTGAATTAAATTTAATGCATTTCAAGCACTAGGATGGGCCTCTTCCTGTTACTTAGTCTGATGGGTTTTCTAAGTAAGTCAGACCTGCCACACATGGACCTGTGTGTGTGACATTAATTAGAGCCTTCCAAGCCCAGCAGGTCAGGGTGGGAAGGAAGGTTTGTCCCAGCTCTGACAGAACTCACAGATGGGAACCAGGCAGTTCCATCTTCTCCGTCTCCAAACTTAATGCAAAAATGTGCAAATTCAGGCCCGAATCTCAGTGCACTGCGAGCTGTAGAGGGAGGGAAGGGCAAGGAGAGTAAATAACTCATTTTTAACCACTTTCAGCATAACCCAGCCATCCTCCCATGGAGCTGTACCAGCAGGACCAGGGCACTGGGCAGGGAGGTGCCAGGAGGACAGGACTGAAGGCAGGAGGCTCCTGGCTGGGAGCCAGGTGGCACAAAGAGGCTGAGAGCCAGGGGAAATCACAGGCTGCCTTTATCTGCTGGGTGATAACGCTGAGCTGAGAGCCTGGGAAAGACTGGGAAGAGCCAGGGAGAGCCACTGCCTGTGGGGTTTATGGACAGAGGGCTGATAACAGCATCACAGGCAGAGCAATGTGCCAGGTGGCACCAGGGCACGGCAGGGCTGGACAGGAGCTGCTGGGCAAAAGGCAAGGAGGGAGGGCTCCCGGGGCTGCCCGTGGAACCTGCTCCATGGAACAAAGCCATTTCCAGGATTACTTTGCAGTCTGACCTGCTCTGTGGAGATTTGGTGTTCCAAAGATGATGTGGTGATCCGTTGAAGCAGAGGGTTTGCCAGGCAGGCTGAGTGGGATAGGCAGATGGCACATGCTGGCATTTGTGTGTCAGCAAACCCCAGCTCCTTGGCAGGAGATTCTGGAGCATGAGGAGCCCAGAGGCACGTTTCTCCAAGGCCAAAGGTTCCCTCAGCACAGAAATATATTAACCACAAAGCTTAATATACCATGAAGAAAGCAGTTGGAAGTGAAATTATTTAATTACCTTAAATAATTGCTTGGATTTTTTCCACCCATTTTTAAGAAAATCAGTCTAAAAGTAAGAAGAAGAAAATCCTACTTTTTTTTTACGTCCAGAAAAATAATAATGCTTGGGATATTTTTTTTCTTTTACTGTCACGTTCCAAGAAGATATTATTTCCCTGTTTCTGCCATGAAGACATGATATATTGGATGATCCAAGTTTTTCCACAGCCTGTGCTTCTAGAACAAGAATGAAAATGCTGGAACACCCATTGCTTGGGTTCGTGATTTCTTATTAGGATTCTGCAGAGTCCCTGCACAATAGGCTTTGAATGCTTTTGTCATAGATGTCACTCCTGCCAAGGATTTGCTCTGGTTGTCTTGAAGTCACCATATACTTCAAACTCAATTAAAACTCCTGTGGAAGTCCCTAAAGGGATTGGGAAGCCAGTCACTGATGTTTTTGACAATGGACAGTCAGGGAAGAGGGAGGGAGCTCTTCTATTTCCATTGCAATTGCCTGTTCTGGTTACCATGACATCTAATAGACCCTCATGGAGAAGGGAAATGTTTTCTATGGAAATACTCAGTATTTCTACAGGAAGATTTACAGCATTTGCTTAACACTGATAAGACCAGAGCATGAATTCTCCAGGCTTGAAGTTGGCTTCATTTGCTCCAGCTGTGTATTGGTGGGGTTTTTTTGACAGTTTGCATTCAAGGTTCCACCTGGAATGCAAATATTGGGCAATGTTTGACTTCAGATGAAACGTCTGCTTTTCTGTGAGAAGGGAAGGGAAGGCAGACAGGGCTGGCCCCTCCGACCTTGAACCTCCAGCCCAGAGACAAGAGCAGAGCACTTAACAGAAACCTGGGATTTTTAATACCCACATCACCAAGGATCCTTCATCCTTCCCAGGTGCCAATGAATCCCATTCAGTTCAACGAATCCAGCTTTCATTGAATCCCAGTGGTACCCCAGGACTAAAAAGGGGCCAGAGAGTGCCACGGTTCCCCACCTGCACAAAGTTTAGTTTCACTTCACCTCACATTATCGCCTCACATTATCAACCCTATACTTTCCATTTAAAAGGGCTGAGTGCAAAATAAAGGAGCAGGGGCAGCCTCTCCCGTAACTCCGCACGCCGAACCCCCTCGGAAGTGCCCCGGGCCGAGGGGTGGAAGGGGCGCGGCTCTGCCCGGCCCTCCCTGCCCGGAGCGGGGCGGTGCTGCCGGGACCCGCCGCGGGCGGGCGGTCCCTCCGTCCGTCTGTGACTCTGTCCGTCCGGCAGTTCCTTCCCAGGTGCCAATGAATCCCATTCAGTTCAACGAATCCAGCTTTCATTGAATCCCAGTGGTACCCCAGGACTAAAAAGGGGCCAGAGAGTGCCACGGTTCCCCACCTGCACAAAGTTTAGTTTCACTTCACCTCACATTATCGCCTCACATTATCAACCCTATACTTTCCATTTAAAAGGGCTGAGTGCAAAATAAAGGAGCAGGGGCAGCCTCTCCCGTAACTCCGCACGCCGAACCCCCTCGGAAGTGCCCCGGGCCGAGGGGTGGAAGGGGCGCGGCTCTGCCCGGCCCTCCCTGCCCGGAGCGGGGCGGTGCTGCCGGGACCCGCCGCGGGCGGGCGGTCCCTCCGTCCGTCTGTAACTCTGTCCGTCCGGCAGTCCGTCTGTCTGTAACTCTGTCTGTCCGGCAGTCCGTCTGTCTGTAACTCTGTAACTCTGTCCGGCCGTCGGTTGGTCCCAGCCGCCCCAGGTCCCCGGGGAGCCGCGGGCGGTGAGTACCGAGGGAAGGGGGCGGGGGACAGCGGGGTCCGGCTCGGATCCTCCTGGGCTGCTGCTCGCAGCTCCGGAACGCGCAGGAGGAGAGGAAAATGCCGATGGAAGCCGTAAGGAAGCTGGGTGGGAAGGCAGCGGTGCCCCGGGGCTGAAAGTGGATGTGGTGTGAGGAGCTGAGCCGTTGCTCTCGCTTCCCTTCCGCTCTGCCAGGACCCTCAGTGCAGGCTTGGCTTCCAAAGCCAAACCCGCAGCTTCGGGGGCCACACAGCCTTCTTCTTGCAGGCTTTTATTAATTGTACTAATTTTTGTTAATTGAAACACAACAACAATTGCATTATCCAGCGCAGTCGCGGTGTGTTTCCCTTGGGATCGGACGGTCTCTCCCAGCCCTGTGGATGCAGCCCGGGCTGTGATGGGCAGTGTGGGATGCCCTGGGCTGAGCTGGCAGCTGCTGCCTGAGGAAATCCCTTTGGGCAGCTCTTCCTCAGCCCATCCTCAGTGCCCAGCGCAGCTGCTCGGTGTTCCACCTTCCCCTGCTAACAGACAGGGTGGGAGAAGGGCCCTAACACTTGAATATCTTGCTGGAAGCCTTGGCAAGCTCTCCCTGAGAAATCCGGGTGGGATGGAAGCTGCTGGAGGGGTCTGCTTCAGCCAGGGCAGGGCAGCCAACACGCTCAGCTGCCCTTGGGAGGTGGCACAACTTCCCTGGAATAGCTGGCTGCCAGCAGGGATTCCATGGGATCTTCCCCAAAACTGCTGCTGCTGCTTGGGAAAAGTGAGGAGATCCCGTATTTGGAGCAGGAGCAGATCCCATATTTCACAAAAGAGAGGTTTTATTGTCCAGCTTTGCAGGTTTTCCCACATGAGTGGATGGCTGCTGGTTACT